TTGATTTCGGTTAGCAACGATCAAACTTTTTAACGGTGTAGCAAAAGTTGTCACTTCATGGTCGTCTTCTTTCTTTTCTTGATAGGTCATCATTATACTTGCCTCTTGCCACTTTTTCATATCATCTTTGTGATTTCCATTTTTGATGGCTGAAACTGAAAACAAGCCAATCAATCTTTTGATTCTATTATTTTAACTTTTCGGTCAATGTCTTCTTTTTTTCAGTGGTTTTTTTTGGGTTTATGATCTTGAAACTACTATTCAAGATACAAGAAATTGCGACATTTTCTTTTATATCTATAATTATATAATAAAATTATAATTATTATTCACAGTTGTAAGTGATGGCTCTAGCTATATAGAATGAGAAAGAAAGTGACCTTGTTGAGAAGAGGTGTACAAGAGAGATAACGAATTGAGGACAAGTACCACTACAACCTTTGTAACCAACGTGCATCTTGTCTTATTGTCGCAATACGGAGTTGACATTATTGGTGCTTGAATCGTTATCACTTATCAGTATCCACATTCTACAGTTACCTCAAGATTTTCTTTTATTGGATATGAAAACGAAATTTTATTTCACTACTTATGGGAACTAATTTCTCATTGTCTTTGAAATTGGTGACCGTACGTGTCCAATATATATTATAACAGTGTTTCTCTTGAAAGTTACCCGACTAGACCAAATCTATATTAAGTAAAATCTTTGTGCTCTCGTGTATTGTAACTAGAAGTGTTTATTATGGATTTCGTGTTAGCTAGCTAGTAGAAGTGTCTATCGTACTTTTGTGTAGCGGATAAAAAAACTCCCAACGTAAATCGTCTGTACATGTTGTGACTCGTGAGTTTAAGGTAAAATCATCTGTATATTATACTAATTGAAGGGTTAGATGGCTAAACAGGGTTCAACCTTAACATACAAATTTTTCAGGATTCAAAAAGGGTTAAGGTTCATTCTGAGTCGGATTTTAAATAAACAGGGTCGGGTCGGACCAAAAAACCTTGTTTAACATCCCTAGGTATATATATGGATATGGATATGATGGCGTGTAAATTTTGTTTTATAAATAACATGAGACATGAAACACGTTTGGTGTTTTGTGGAGCTATACTGAGAGTCTGAGACTCAAGTCATTGTAAATGGTAATTGATCTACAATACTACATTTGATTGAATTTTTGAATCTAAACTAAATTTATGTTTTAGTTCAATTTTAACATACTTATATGCTGAAGGTCAATATGACAGATTTTTTCATCCGAGTTTTTGTAGAATTTGGCGCTATAATTAAGACTTTATATAAAGATCGTCAAACTAATATCTCATGTAGTTTTATTTATTTAAAGCAATTGTTTTTCTAAAACTTTAATTAATTAGGAACATAAGGAGTACAATATTTCATAAATAAATGGGAGGTTTTTTTTTTGGTAGGAAGGAAGTTTTTTCAAAAATAATAGCTCTGAAATCTGTCTTTTATAATATTTTTTTTTTAAAAAGTGAATTCAATTTTAATCAGTTTTCCTTTCGAAAAATAATTTTCTGCATATTTCTCTATCTCGTTTTCAATTACTTAAAAATATTATCGTTTTTTCTAACCACCTAAATATAACCGTAAATGTATACGCCATGATTTGAATTGGCTAGAAACATAAAAATATATATTGGATTGAAACTCAACTTGCATCTTTTTATATTTTTGGGAGGCAAAAACTAGAATTGGGATTAAGTTCGGATTTGATATATTTGAAATATTTATTGCTAAGTACAAACATCTCTATAATAAAACGCATGGAGTAGTTTAGGTTGTGTTTTTTGATACACTAATTGGTTGGACAAGGCCATGTGCGATTGGATGTTGTGACTGAAGTTTCTATTTTGAGTTTGAACAAATAAATATCTCGTTTACAAAAAAAAAAAAAAAAAAAAAAATAAATATCTCATGTCTGTACTTTATATCAAGAAAAATAAACTTCTTTATATCCATATATGTATTTGTCACATTTTCTTGTTTTCTTGGTTTTTTTTTTTTTAATTCTTTCTTAAAATTCATTTCATGATAATATATTGAAATTTTGGCCTGAGAAAGTAACTAGTCCTGATAGACTGATTCAACCGATTGGACCACAAAAATAAAAGATTAAGATGTTATAGATAAACATCAGTTCAAATTTAGTTCTTGCTTTCTAATCAAAAAATATATATTGGATTTATTTGTCTGGAATCTTCGCTGTTAATTTTTTTACTCATTTCAACATATAATTAAAATACATATCATAATAAACTATATTTTAATTTATTTAAAATCAATAAAATTAAAATATAGTTTATTATGATAATTAAATAGTTGATTTTTATGTTTTTATTATAACTTACTCATTTATAATGAGTGAAACTATTACTTATGAGATTACAACATATAAAATGAATTATTTTAAACAATGTTAATTTTATTTTTTTGAAATTTCTGTTTTTTTCTTCACTAATTATGTTTTGTCAAAATTTATATGTTATTGTTACTAACTAATTTATACATATTTTAAATTATACTAATTGTTTTTAATATATATTTTTAGCTCTTATTATGATAAAATATATAGTCAGATTTTATTTCAAAATGAAGTGTCTAAATTCAAATCCGGTTTTCATTTTGTAATATATATTGCTATTTCTTAATTTGGGGAAATATACGGGTCCTAATTATTCTGTAAGAAAAAGAACTCCAAAACCATATTATTATTATTTTAAAACCAAAAGTTATGATTTACGTTAATTCAAGTCAATCCCTAAATGGTTAAGCAAAACATTTAGGGATTAACTGACTTCACCAAATTTTCAACATTTTAAAAAGGAAATAGAGACCTTTTTGGTCACTAATTAGAACCATGATTCGTAGTTTGTTTGTTTTTTTTTTTTTTTGAAGAATGTTTAAAAAGAAGAGAGTGGGAGGAAAAGGGAACTGGCCAATGGGGAGAGGGGGGAGGATTGAATTTGGGCTATTTGGATTCTGAGAACAGTTAAAAAGCAAAGAGAAGTCTCATGCTTTACCAATCTTTATACTCTCTTCTCCTCACTTCTCTTCTGCTTGCTTGGGGCCTTTGTAGCTTATTGGCATTTGGCCCCCACCTCTCTTCACCAAACACTTGTTCTCCTCTTTGTCCTTTTCCATGCCCTATTAGTTTCAAGTTCCGACAAATAAAACACACGTGGGATAAGACTAATAGTTTACTGACCCTGCCTTTCTCATAACTTCTACTACATTCAATCTACTTCAGTTTGGTTTTGTCTCATAAGTTTTGGTTAGGATCGACTTTTAAACTCATTCCATCAACAATAATATAGGAAATAATAAGAATCAAGAAAATCAAGAAACAAATGCATATGGTTTCATATATATCACTGGTGTGCCCGATAAAATCAGTAAACTCATCTTGGAGTCGAAGGTTAACAAAACAATACTCCCTCTGTTTCATTATAAGTGATGTTTTAGCCAAATTTTTTTGTTTCAATATAAATGATGTTTTTAATTTCCTATGCAAAAATTTAATGTATTTAATATATTTTGACCAATTATATTTTACATTATATTTTTTTATTGGTTGAATTCATATTAATTAATGATATTTTTATGAAAAATGGTTAAGTTATATGTTTTATTATTTAGTGTGTCAAAACTTTAAACATTACTTATAATAAAACAGACGGAGTACTAACTAGTAGAAGTGCACAAGTACGATTTTTATCGTCATAAAGTTTTTATTTTACACTTATAAAATTCTTTTCAAATTTTGATGTAATAGAGTTGGGAATTAGTTTTTTTTTGGTAATAAGAGTTGGGAATTAGTTGCAAACATATAAATGCGAGTAATGATAAAGTGTAGTAGTAATTAAAATGACGAATCTACGAAACTTTTTCAAAGTCTTAATTGGTCGAACCAACCATGAATGATTTGGGCATAATTACAAGAGATCCTGCAGGTTGTGGGGTTTGCAAAATCGACCCCATATCTTACCATTTAAGTGTAATAAGAGCAGCCCAAAATTATTACTCATGTTTGGATCCAAAGTCTGAAAAAAAAACTATACTAATGCTTTCATTTTTCTCTTTGGTATCCAATAAAAAGTCGACAAACAACCAAAACAAAAAAACTATGTAAGACGATAAAGTAAACAAGTAAATAGAAACAACACTTCTCCTAATACAGCCAAAACATAACCTCGGGAACCTCTTCTTCCTGCCAACTATAAAAACAGACACCAACAAAAAAGATCCATTGATTTCATATTTTTTGCTTGCTTATAAACAATAAGTATATGTTTTCATGTTTTTTTTTAAAATACCCAATTCGTCACTTTCTCCATGGCAATTTGTTTCTTGGACCCAAGCCAAATTTTGATTCTAGAGTATGTATGATGTATCTCTCTTGTAAAAAATTCTAGTGATCAAATACTAGAAATTATTAAGGTGGTATACTCTAGATAGATACATGTAAGTATTTTTAAGACAATATATTATACATGAAATGATTGCATGATTCCGATAAGAATGTATTTTATAAGATCAAGATTGAATCCAACATGCATGAATACCAAAGCACATTGAAACAAATACGCATTTAGTTTACGATTTAATAATTGTCGTCTAGTTCTTTTTGTCTTTTTGGATTAAGACCAAAACATTTTGTTCAATATACGCAATTTTTTTTTTTAACTCTACTATTATATTCACCTTATCAAGAGATTAGTATGAAAAATTGAAAACCCTCCCATGTGGCAAAGCCCTTTAAAACATAAATATGAGAAAGGAAAAGAAAATTATTAAAAGAAATATAGAAAAAAAAAAAAAAAAAAAATCAAACCAAAACAAATGAACACTAACATGACTTGAAGCTTGCTTCTACTTTTATTTTTTAGTATGACATTGCTTGCTTATATAAAGACTTAAAGGACCCTTTGTTCCCCCATCTCCTCAACAACACTCACTTTGAACAAGACAAAACAAAAAACCCAAAAAACTCTCAAAGAAAAAAAAGAAAAGAAATGGCGATTATTTGCACAACAACAACAACATCTCCGGCAGAGAAAGATCACGAACCAAAACAACAAGATCTTGAAAACGACCAAACTCCTCCACTGATCTTTAACCCTTCTCTTCTTAACCTTCAATCCCAAATCCCAAACCAGTTCATTTGGCCAGACGAAGAGAAACCTAAACCTTCCGTTGATATCCCTGAGCTCAACGTCCCTTTCATCGATCTCTCAAGCCAAGACTCTACTCTTGAAGCTTCTAGACTCATCGCGGAAGCTTGCACCAAACACGGCTTCTTCCTCGTCGTCAATCATGGCGTCAGCGAGTCACTCGTATCCGAAGCTAACCGTTTAATGGAACGTTTCTTCGACATGCCTCCCGCCGGGAAACAGCGAGCTCAGAGAAAACCCGGTGAGAGCTGTGGCTATGCTAGTAGCTTCACCGGAAGATTCTCCACCAAGCTCCCGTGGAAGGAGACTCTCTCTTTCCGGTTCTCCAACGAGAATAGTGGCTCGAGAACCGTTCAAGACTACTTCTCCGACACATTAGGACAAGAGTTCGAGCACTTTGGGTACGTGTCTTTTAAAACAGAACAAGAACCACAAATCAGAACAGAGCAAACCCTTTTTTTTCTCTGTTTTCTAATCTTAAACTTTCATAAACCGGTTTTCATAAAACAGAAACAATTTTACCGGTTTAGCTAATGATTTCCCCGGTTTTATTCAACAGGAAGGTGTATCAAGACTACTGTGAAGCAATGAGTTCTCTATCACTCAAGATAATGGAGCTTCTGGGGCTAAGTTTAGGCGTAAACCGAGACTATTTCCGAGGATTTTTCGAAGAGAATGATTCGATAATGAGGCTAAATCATTATCCTCCATGCCAAACACCAGATCTCACGTTAGGTACAGGACCTCATTGTGATCCAAGCTCTTTGACAATCCTACATCAAGACCAAGTCAATGGCCTTCAAGTCTTTGTCGACAATCAATGGCGATCCATACTCCCCAATCCCAAGGCTTTCGTTGTCAACATCGGTGACACTTTCATGGTAATTAATAAAGTAACCATCTCTCAAATAGTAGTACTAAATAGTAACTACATGCATTATGATGATTGAATCAACTTTGGTTTTTGTATGTAGGCTCTATCGAACGGGATATTCAAGAGTTGTTTGCATAGAGCGGTGGTGAACAGAGAAAGCGCGAGGAAATCAATGGCGTTTTTCTTGTGTCCGAAGAAAGACAAAGTGGTGAGACCACCAAGTGAGATATTGGAGAAGAACAAAACAAGAAAATACCCTGACTTCACTTGGTCTATGTTCCTTGAGTTCACTCAAAAACATTACAGAGCAGATGTGAATACTCTCGATTCCTTTTCAAATTGGGTCATTAGCAACAACAATAATCCCATCTAAGAAACCAAATTTCTATCTATATATCTTTTGTCTCTTTTCTTTTCTTCTTTTTTGGTTACTTTTGTCCTTTGTTCTCATGGTGAAATGCATTAATTTGGATTTCAAAGTTTAAAACGTTATGTTATATTGCTCCAAGTTTTAGACCATGGCATATCATATGAATGCTCGTTAGTTTGAATATCTTAAATAACTACGTGTGAGGATATATGAAGTAAATATATGGGAACGATACGGTGTCTTGATCTATATATGTTATTTCCATTTAAAATTCGGAATAAAAACGAAAATCTCTTCATGGGGAGAAGGCGTAGGTTCGAACTCCTCCTAATCAACTAAAAAAAAAAAAAAAAAAAAGAATTTCCTCAAATAAAATCATGTTCCAAATACAAAGAGTAAAGAAGAAGAAGAAATATAACATAAAAATAGTACTAAACTATAAGTGTAAATATTTCCGTTATTTTTACCATCATTTCTATTTAAAATATGTGTGTTTATCTTTTAATAACTAGCTTATATTTTCAAAATTTAAGATACATGATAGAGTTTTCTAGTTTTAAGAGGGGATTTTGATTGAAACACATTGTCACCATTCACCAAACCGGACGGGAACGGGACACACAGAACTTGTTGACTCACTCACTCATATCTACGTGTTATATTTTTGGGAGTGGATTTGATTGGAGAACAATAGACAAAAAAAAGAGAGTAAAGAAAATTCCAAGAACAAAGTACACATCAAGTGCCATTAACAAGTAACTTAAGATTAGAGTTAGAGACACAAAAACTCGTGCATCATATACATCAACATGTAGTGTTTGTGTTGTTAGTAAGAGTCATCATAAGAAAACAAAACACATGGGCCATCAAAACCCACCCAAGAATGTTCTCTTTCTCCCAAACATTAGAACCTAAAACCCTAATAATGCTCTTCATCCTTTGAATCTTACCTGTTTTGGCTCGCTATGCATATTGTGTTTTCTTGCACAATTTACAACTCATTATTTGGATATTTAAGTTTCCTATATTTTCATTTATTTTATGATTCACGTTTTTGAACAGTTTTTTTACTCTGATTTAGAAACATTTATCTTTACTTTGTTGTCCGATCTATTATATGTATATAATTTTTACATAATTTTTCTGTATGATATCATTATATGCATAACTTTGTTAAAATACCCCGAAACAGGATTGGATCTTGTTGATGCAACATAAACTTGTGATGACCTTATAATTCCATACATACATATTCTAATACCATTTAAAATCGATCTAACTAACGTCCAAAATAAGTTCTATAGTGCAAACAAAACTTGTACAATTATAAAATGGATAATAGAAAAAAAAATTTAATTAGCTTACATGAATCTAATAAAGACGAAGAGTAAGTCTGTAAACAACAAGACAAAAAAACAGCTCTAATCAAAATCCAAAACACCCTCGCATCACGTGCATCTCTTTTGTTCTTCTCTTCACTCTTAATTATTTTTGTGATCACTCTCTAATTATTATTTTTAGACTAAGGAAAAAAAACAAACGAACAGATCTCTCTCTCACACTTGGGCCACGGCAAAACGACAACGTTTGGGATATTGCATCATGATGCACATTTTGTCGTTTGGGATGATTGCATCGTATTATCATATGCAGCACATTTGTCCAATTGCTTTCTGATTCTTCTTCTTCTCCCTAATAAATCTTAATTGTAAATTTGTTTTCTTTCGGATTCCATGTTTTATTTTATATTTAATATATTTTCAAATCCTATTTGTAATATTATCTATATTTGATTGATGCCATCTGTCTTAACTAGTTTCTAGCCCCTTCATGCATGAATCTTATACAGATCTGTTATAACACATCCATTGAACTCTCTGTTGTTATGTATGTGGTTTCTTTTTTATGAATCTTATACAGATCTGTTATAACACATCTATTGAACTCTATGTTGTTATGTATGTGGTTTCTTTTTTATGATAGATTGTGGAAAAGACATGTTCTTATGGACGGTCGTGTAGCGAAGACATGTTCATAGTAACCAGACATGTGCTTAGGAACTGTTGAAAGTGATTAGTAGGAGTGAAATGAAGATTCTCACAACGGTCTCATGTTATGATGAGAAAGAAGAGTTCGTCCATGAAGTCTCCAATGTCAGACCAATAGGCCTTAGCTTTACATACGCAAATTTATCAAATTAGTTAACGTACAAAAGGGTCCATACGTTCATCTAACGTTTATTAAATATCGGCTTCAAGCAATTATCGATGTATTGCATAAGGTTTGTTTGACTATGTGTGATTATCTATTGCCATTTTTTCACATAAACAATAATTGAAATAGGAAGTCCTGAAAGACCAACATCAACTTGAAATGGGCTTAAGGGATGCAAATTTTCAGACGCTCAATCCAAGTAATTCCATTACTAATACACAGATTCATGTATCATAGATCTAGTTATAATCGTTTTCTTTCTTTTATCAGTGGTGTGATTTTTTATTACTGCAAGATTATATAGGAAAGTTATAGTAAGTTAATTACTCATGTAAAATGATTTATATTTATGATATTTGTGTTTTTATGTCAACATGATATTTTTGTTTTTATGTCAACATGGTATTTTTGTTTTAACAGTCATCTTATATAATATAACAAGGTTTTCTCTAACTTTTCACCACGTTACGACATTTGGCGCTCTCTGTTGATGACATGTGTCATCCTTTATTTTTAATTATTTTTTCATTTTTATTTTTAACTAAAACATTTATGTCAATCTTAATTCCAAATGACCATATAATTAGGTAAAAATAAAAATAAAATTATTATGAAAAAATAATTATGAGTAAAATTATTAATTGGGATCAAAATTCATTTCTCTAAAGCAAAAGATATAACTAAAGTTTTAAAACAAAATCACATATTGCATATGATATATCACATATATATGTATATATGATTTACTATCACATAATTAAAAAATCTATTTTACATAATTTTCTTACATTTTATTTAAATTTTCATCCATCATATTTATTTTATTATAAAATACCCTGTTCTTTTTTCACTTTAATGATGGAAGAAACTTAAATAAAATGTATGCAAATTGAGTAAAATAGATGTTTTAATTATTTGATAGTAAATCAACAATTGTGGGAGTTAATTCTTATTAATTTGTGTTGAATAAAATTGAGTAGAGAAATATAGTTAATGCAAATTTTTATAATTTCAGTTCTTATATTAAAGTGTGAGTTAAATGTAGAGATTCAATTAATTGTGTTTTAATTGAATATATATTTTTCAGTTTTAAAATTAAAGTGAGAGATAGATATATATGATCAATTGTGTTTTATTTGTGGTTTGTTTCACTTTCTTCTTATTGGTCTATTTTTCTATAAATGGGTTTTTTTAAATTATGTTTTCAACTATACCAAAAATAAAACACATTTAGTTATATATATTAAACTGACACTTTAATATAAACCTAAAGAAAATATTATTTTAATCAAGCCATAAATAAGAAAAAATTTGATCATCTATATTTATATTCAATTAAAACACAATTAATTATATACATTTAACTCACACTTTAATATAAAAACTGAAATAATATAAATTTTCATTCACTATATTTTTGTACTCAATTTTAGTCAACACTCAATAAATTAGAATTAAATCCTACAATTTGTTCTTCTAAATTGTAACTCTCATCACTTCTCATCTTATAAATACTCATTTTCTCATTCTCTCATTCCCTCCTCCTCTTCCACTTTATCTCAAATCTTCTATAATTGAGTTTGTTTTGTTTTTTGTTTTTTGTTTGTTGGTTGTTTGTTGTTGTATGCGTTGAAAAACAAAATTAACTTGCATTGTAAAAGTTTAATCTAAATTTTAATTTTAGCACTATATGATATATATTTACATTGTTTTATATGACACTATTTGGGATTGTTCTTCCAAATATCTTGAAAGTAAGAACTACTGAAAAATAAATGCTCCAATGTTTCCTCATCTTGATTGCACCTCTTCCAGATAGGAGAAATGCTAATACCCCATCTTTTTAACTCAGTAGTTGTAGCAAGAGCATTGGAAAGTATTCGCCAGAGAAAATGCGTAAGCTTAGGAGCCACTTTCATCTTATAATTAATCTCTCTCTTTCTCACGTTCTCTTTCACTACATTCATGTATCTTAAATATTTTTGAGTTGTTATATGGATTGAAAATCAATAGAATAGAAGTATCTTTCTAAGAATTTGATCTTAATTTATTTTAGAAAGTATGATATATATCAAACATAGTTTCAATTTTATTTCTATTGCCTTATTATACATACTTTTTTCAATTTTTATTTCTAATGCCTTATTATACATACGTTTTCATACTTATGAGTATGAATGAAGAAAGTATGATATAACACATATGTAAAATAAAAGTTTTGATTGTTATATAAATAAAAGTTTCAATTTAAACCTTTAACAAATAACTTCTTCTATTTTTTGAAAATCTCAAATAATATTTTGTAATTCATTTCAATATAT